ATTTTGGTCAACAGCAGCAGGTACCACCCACACCCCACCCTGCAACAGTTCTGCTTCCTCCTCGTTAGAAGGCAATTCCCTTCCTGTGACAACCGTCCCTGAGTTTGGGCACATCTGCTTTTGTCGTGCGAGGTGAGGGCTGCCATGTGGGTAGGCCGGGGGCTCAGCCTCCTCAGGGTACTGTCCTCCCCGTCATCCTGCTCCTGTGTCCCACATTGCTCCTAGTTTGGTGTCAAGGCCACCCTCGGATTCAGTTTCACTTGGGACCACCCCCGGCCACCATCGAGACTCCGGTCATGCCTCCCTGCCTGCCACACACTCATGCAGTCCTGGGCAGTTGGGACATGTGGGTCACACCGCCTCTTCTTTTTGCTGGGCCTTAGGACAGAGCCTCTCAGCCTGCCCTGCGGACCCTGCCTGTGCCCATTTCCTCCCCCATCCACCCAGGGGCCTTGTTTTACTTGGCAGATGCAACCAAGATCACCCTAGCCCCCTCGAGTGCCGACATCAACTTGGGTGACAACCTGACCCTACAGTGCCATGCCTCCCACGACCCCACCATGGACCTCACCTTCACCTGGACCCTGGACGACTTCCCCATCGACTTCGATAAGCCCGGAGGGCACTACCGGAGAACCAATGTGGTGAGGCCTACGGCCAGAGCCCCATGGCTTCTCCCTCTTTCCAGAGAGACAGGGGCCCCAGGATGTCCTTAGCCATCCCCACCTTTAAGTCCCCCATAGCCTAAGCGTCCCCCATTCCCTCAGGCCCACGCATGGCAAACTCATCCTTGGATGAATAGCCGTCCTTCCTGGATTCCACCCAGGGACCATGCATATAGGAGAGGGTTAGGGACAAACCTGGAATTGTGGGCAGCCACCAAGACACTCCCATTACTGTTCTTGTTAGCCTGCCCCCTAGGGCAAATGACATTATTAATGTGGACAGTCATTGACTGTCTCCTGAAACAAACTTTGCTGTTTGGTCCCCAGTGGTTCTAAGTGATGAGTCGTGATTCCTCCCATTGAACAGACAGGAAAACTGAGATCCAGCGGGGTCCATGGATGTCATGGAGTAGGGGACTCCCAAGCTCTGCCTCATGTCTCATAGCCTGCTGCACTGGTCAGAGCCGGTGGTCTGACCTGCCGCCCCTAACTGTCCCCATGTGCAGAAGGAGACCATTGGGGATCTGACCATCCTGAATGCCCAGCTGCGCCATGGGGGGAAGTACACGTGCATGGCCCAGACGGTGGTGGACAGCGCATCCAAGGAGGCCACAGTCTTGGTCCGAGGTGAGGGGTTTCCCACCTCTACCCCTCCCCCAACTCCCTTAAAGCCCAGCTGGGCTGTTCTGACCTGCTCGCCCCATCTCCCCTCCCCTCCCTCAAAGCTGTGGGGAAGGGCTTCTGGCAGAACTCCTGTGAGCTGGATATATCCTGCGGTTCTTCACAGGACCTAAATGATCAGGACATTTTTCTTCCAAAGCCAAAGTTTAAAAAATTCACTCCTAAAGACATCCCAAGACAGGAGTGCTTTACTGAGCCCTGAAGTTTTCAAAGCCTAGTGCTGGGAAATCTATGCACCTCTCCACGTGACAGCCTCTGTGAGCCCCCCAGCCTTGAGACACATCCCTCCACCCTCCAACTGGCACCTGCCCCAACTGCCCACATCCCTTGCTGGCGCTCCCTCCTGGGTGTGTGTTCACTGCGCCCTCTGCTGACCTGTCTCGGTACTGTACCAGCTCAAGCCTGGCTGGGAGGAGGTTGGCTCAAATTGGAAGCTGCCCAATTCTGACCCACTGTGCTCTGACCTCTTGGTGCAGGTCCGCCGGGTCCCCCAGGAGGCGTGGTGGTGAGGGATATTGGCGACACCACCATCCAGCTCAGCTGGAGCCGTGGCTTCGACAACCACAGTCCCATCGCTAAGTACACCCTGCAAGCTCGCACTCCACCTGCAGGGAAGTGGAAGCAGGTTCGGACCAGTAAGTGTGACCCCACCCGGGTCAGTGCTGATAAGGCTTGGCTGGGTGTAGGAGGTAGAAAGGGTCAAGGGTTGGGGATCAGGGGTCTGAGGGCCAGGGCTGAGCCTGGAGCTTCCAAGAGGGACAAGCTTTGCCCTCTGCCAGCAGAGAGCATGCAGGCAGGCAGCAAGACAGTCACATAGGGAGTAGGACAGTCGGGAAAGAGTTAGAAGAGGAGGCGCTTGGTCTATGCCCTTGAAGAATTGGTAGGATTGTTACTGGAGCAATGAAAACATTCGTAGGGGCGTGGGGGTGCACACAGCAGTAGCAGAGGTACCAAGATAGGGAAATTGAGTAGTTTTTCAATAATTTCTGAAAAAGGTACTGAGTGCTTAGTATATGGCAAGTACCGAAGTGAGGGCTGGGTAGATAAGTGGTGATTCAGGCCAGTGCCTGCCCTCTGCATCCAGATGAATAAGCAAATGCTGGAACATGGACTCCCCGGTGCCTTGCAGATCCTGCAAACATCGAGGGCAATGCCGAGACTGCACAGGTGCTGGGCCTCACCCCCTGGATGGACTATGAGTTCCGGGTCATAGCCAGCAACATTCTGGGCACTGGGGAGCCTAGTGGGCCCTCCAGCAAAATCCGGACCAAGGAAGCAGGTGAGAGTCCTGTGTGTCCCAGAGAACTATCATCAGGACAGAGACCCTGGCACCACTTATAGGAAGTGCCACGCCAGCCGCAGTTATGCTGAGTTCCAGCCCTGCTCACAGGCTTCAGACTCTCACAAAACAGACAAGGACAGAACACCAAGTTGGGACCAGGCCCACTGTATGGACAAATCATCTAGTCTAAACTCCTCATTTAAAAACTGATCAACCTTACAACTGCATGCGCATCTATAATTTTTTTAAGTTTAATTTTTTAAAGTGGAAAAACCAAAGTTCGGAGAAGGAAAGAGTCACATTGACATAGCTTGGACTTGAACCCAGGACCACAGGGTGGTAGACAGATGTCCTCCTGGAAAAGTATGCACTACAGAAATCAGTTAATGCTGGCCGGGCAAGGTAGTTCACGCTTGTAATCCCAGCACTTTGGGAGGCGGAGGAGGGCAGATCACCTGAGGTCAGGAGTTCGAGACCAGCCTGGCCAACATGGTGAAACCCCATCTCTACTAAAAATACAAAAATTAGCCAGGCGTGGTGACACACACCTGTAAATCCCAGCTACTCGAGAGGCTGAAGCAGGAGAATGGCTTGAACCCGGGAGGTGGAGGTTGCAGTGAGCCAAGATCGTGCCACTGCACTCCAGCCTGGGTGACAGAGCGATACTCCATCTCAAAAAAAAAAAAAAAGAAAGAAAGAAAAATCAGATGATGTGAAAGATGTGTGTGCATGTGTGTGTGTGTGTGTGTGTGTGTGTGTGTTCTGTGCAGGGGGCTAGGGAAGCAGCCAGTGTCTCCAAGCCCTTTAGATGATTTCTTAGGGAGCAGATGGAATGAATAACCTGCCCACAACCCTCAGCAGAAAGCATGTGGGTGTCTTGAGTGGGGAAGGAGGGGGAGAAGAGAATCCAGGAGAGAGTGGGGGAGGCACAGGCTCCAGTCAGCATCTGCTGAGAGGCTCCTGCCCATCTCCAAGCCATTCGCAGGGGATGGCCTGGAATGAGAGCCCTGGGATCCTGGGACCAGGGGCATAGATTCAGGACCCTGCCTTCCCTCCTCTCACCTGCCCAGACCTGTTGCACTGGATGTGTAGTGAGGGTCCATCTTCTTGTCTCCCTGAAACATGTTCTCCTACATGCCCCAAACTAACTCTCCAGGCCCTTTTTCCAGAAACACTCAACATTTTTAGCTGGTACCTCTCCTGAGTAAGAAATTCCAAAGGGAACACTTTCTTTGATTGATCCTGAACTTCTTGGAGGGTCAAATGTGGAGAAGTGAGGGGACTCCTTTATTCTATTAATAGTATCCCAGGAGCCGAGGAGCGCAAAGACAGCTGTGAGGCAAAGGAAACATGACAGGCTTTAAAATCAGAAGGACTGAGATCAGATTCCACCTGTGTCATATATTAGCAGTGTGACCTTAGGCAAGTTGATTAACTACTCTGGGCCTCAGTCTTTCCACCCTGAAAAGGGCAATAATAACACCCACCTCACAGGATCAAACGGCCAATGTGTTTAAGTGCCTCTTGCAAATTACAGGCCCTAAACTATTGTCATCAGAAGCAAGTGAAAAATCTCCAGCTGCCGGTTTCTCTGCGAAAATATTTTGACCCCCAGCCAAGTTACTCTCTGCTAAGCTACAGGAGCTGATGAAATAAATTCTTGTTTTAATATCAGCCTTGTTTAATACTCGAGACAATTAGGAGATTAAATCTGCAATAAAAAGAAAAATAGTAATATATCACCCTGGAGCCCAAAAGTAGTTTGTTTTGTTTGTTTGTTTGCATTAACTGCAGTTTTGGGTTATTTATTCCCCTTATTTTAAAGCAAACGAGAGTTGGTCTCTGTGATTTAGTTTAAGTTGATGGAGTAAGGAGGACAATGATCGTGTGTGCATCATCCGCTCTATGCTAACCATCGTCCTGTTTAATTTCATTCTCATTACGGCCTCTGAGAGAAACATGATTATCTCCATGGAGAAGAGAATCAGAGGCGCAGAAAGGTTAAGTAACTTGCCCAGAGAAACACAGCTAGTCATGGCAGAGGTGGGATTTGACTGCCTGACTCCAGAGCCTATGTTCAGAGGGACCATTGGAGGACAAACCCAGGGTCCAGTTGAAGGGGTTCCCCATCTTACGATGCTCTACAGGCACAGGCTCAGGGCTTTCCTTTTTTCCTTGCTCATTAACAAGCCGTATCCGTGTCTCTTGGCGCTTGACAGCCCCCTCGGTGGCACCCTCAGGACTCAGCGGAGGAGGTGGAGCCCCCGGAGAGCTCATCGTCAGCTGGACGGTAAGCTGGAAGAGTCAGATGTCCTCCTCCTCCCCGACTCCTCTCCTGCTTGGGCAGTTGCAGAAAGGACCACTGCACAGCTCTGACTCAAACGCGGACAACTTCCTGTCCCCCTCCCACGCACCCGCTGCCCCTCACGCAAATCCACAATGCAGGCGCAGGCGTCCAGGGCCGCCACTCTTGGCAAAGGTTGGGTGGGGCCAGGGAACGGGCAGGGACACGTGCCGCGGATCCTCGCCCATGCCACGCTCTTGCCCCTCAGCCCATGTCACGGGAGTACCAGAACGGAGACGGCTTCGGCTACCTGCTGTCCTTCCGCAGGCAGGGCAGCACTCACTGGCAGACCGCCCGGGTGCCTGGCGCCGATGCCCAGTACTTCGTCTACAGCAACGAGAGCGTCCGGCCCTACACACCCTTTGAGGTCAAGATCCGCAGCTACAACCGCCGCGGGGAGGGGCCGGAGAGCCTCACTGCACTCGTGTACTCCGCCGAGGAAGGTGGGCTGCCCCCGGGCCCACTGCTCGTCCCTACCCCAGCCACTTGTCCACAGGAGTGTGGGGTGGGAGGACGCTACTCATCTCACAGCTCAGTTCCATAGGAGAAGGTTGAGAGGACACTTGGGTTCCACACCCCTGGCCTCACTTCCAGCTCTTGCTACCTTGTCTCCCTTCGGGGTTAGGAAAAGGGAGGCTCTCTGGGAAGAGAAGTGGGCCCTGGAGCATTGCTTGGGGGGCTCCTACTTGGCCTTCATCCTGAGCCCTGGGCTTTCCTCCAAAATCTTAAGCAAAGGCAATCCTGGTTGGGGGGTGCCCCAGGGGGGGTCCTGGGAATCCAAACCCATTCTGTATCGGTCCCCAGAGCCCAGGGTGGCCCCTACCAAGGTCTGGGCCAAAGGGGTCTCATCCTCAGAGATGAACGTGACCTGGGAACCCGTGCAGCAGGACATGAATGGTATCCTCCTGGGGTATGAGGTGAGCACCAACCTGGGGCTTGGGAGAGGAAGGGGTGCTGGGGCTTCAAAGCCAGGTGGGAACAACTCACAGCTTACTAATCATTCCTCCTGGCATCCCTGGTTCACTGACATGGCAAACTGAGCATCCAGTCTATGCAGCACTGTGGATGCAAATTTCACTAAGACCCCGTGGCAGGCCAGGCGCCGTGGCTCGTGCCTGTAATCCCAGCACTTTGGGAGGCTGAGGCAGTGGATCTCCTGATGTCAGGAGTTTGAGAACAGTCTGGCCAACATGGTGAAACCCTGCCTCTACTAAAAATACAAAAAATTAGCTGGGTGTGGTGGCCCATGCCTGTAATCCCAGCTACTCAGGAGGCTGAGGCAGGAGAATCGCTTGAGTTCAGGAGGCAGAGGTTGCAGTGAGCTGAGATTGCGCCACTGCACTCCAGCCTGGGCGACAAAGTGAGACTCCATCTAAAAAATAAATAAATAAATAAAACAAATTTTTAAAACCATGGCTTATGCCCATTGGGGAAGACAGACCCTGGAGGCAGCCTTAAAGTAAATGCTTGGCTAGAGCCAGCACTGGAAGCTGGGAGGGTAGAGGGAATGGGTTCTGGAAAGGGGCATGGCTTGCCCCTTTCATACCAGAGCCCATTCAGACTGCCCTATCCAGGGCTGCACAGAGAACAGCCTGAGCCACTCTATGGACCGTTGAACATCCTATCCCGGGGGAACTTGGGGCCCAGCAGTCTGGCCTGAGTACTGGGTCCACTGAGAACTCCACATAGGGGTACCTGTGGAGCAGATGGAAAGTGAGAGGAAGAAAGAGGGAGAGAAAGAAGGAAAAGCAAGAAAGAATCATCAGGCTGGGCCTACTAGTGATAGCACAAGTTCATTCCAGTAGAGTACTCTAGATTTCAGCACAATAGCTTAGGCAAGCCACAGTGTGGAGATAAGTCCAAACTCTGCTCTTGATTTGAAAGCATGTTTAGCAGGTCTTCATGCTATGATTACCATGAAAATGGGTTTGCATGTATTAGGCAGCCTTCAGAAGCTTGCTTGGGGCCGGGGAACTACTTTGTAGTATAAATAAGCATTTTCTATCCCTTAGTAGAATGCCCTCAGTGGCCTCCCCAAGTTGTTGAAATGAGATGGGTTCCAGCGGGGCCATTGCTAGGTTGAGCCTGTGCCACTGGCTCCCTCCCTGGCCCACGTCTTGAGCACCTTCCTTGAACTAGGCACCAACAGACAGCAGGGACTCACACCCACACGGCCCTGCTCTCTGGGTGCTCATGATCTAGTGTCCAGGTTCTGAGGCCTGAGTCTGGGTCACAAGGACCAGGATGAGCAAGAGAGGAACAGAATATGGGGGGCCGGGGCAGCCCTGAGATCCTGGGCTTGACTATTACCCCTTGGGTACCCCCGCCTCCTTCAGATCCGCTACTGGAAAGCTGGGGACAAAGAAGCAGCCGCGGACCGAGTGAGGACAGCAGGGCTGGACACCAGTGCCCGAGTCAGCGGCCTGCACCCCAACACCAAGTACCATGTGACTGTGAGGGCCTACAACCGGGCTGGCACTGGGCCTGCCAGCCCTTCTGCCAATGCCACAACCATGAAACCCCGTGAGTCGCTCTGCCTGGGGTGGGGGCAGGGGAATATGTTGGAGGGTGGGTGCCTCTGGGATCACTCTTTTCCCCAATGGTAAGACAAATGCTCTAGCCCACCAGCTCTGGGCTGGACAGAAATTAGACAGTGAGCCTAATGGAAATAAGAGAATGGAATTCATGACCTCTGAAGCATCTCACACTTCTCCAACCTTTGGATTTTCAGGGGCTTTGTTTCGTGGGCATGGGTGACAGAATGTGCTGGGTGTAACTGCTAGAGGCAAACACCCAGAGAAGGGCTGGCTAAAGGTGAGAGGGTGCGGGGTGCCAGGGAAACGTTTGGACATCTCTCCAATTCTTCCTCTGTGGCAGCTCCGCGGCGACCTCCTGGCAACATCTCCTGGACTTTCTCAAGCTCCAGTCTTAGCATTAAGTGGGACCCTGTGGTTCCTTTCCGAAATGAGTCTGCAGTCACCGGCTATAAGGTGAGGAAGGGATCAGCTAGGCCCAGAATGGGAAGGAACAGCTCCTCTGTGTTTCCAGTGAACATAAGAAGCAACAATTTATAACAAGAGGCATCTGAGTGAGACATAAGCAAGGGTTTGTGACTGTGAGAATGAAATTCATGAACGATTCTCTCGGTAACTTGCAGTAGGAACTATCAAAACAGGGGCAGATGGTGTCACTGCAGAAAGGCAGAGTTCACAGGGGCAGTGATGGACTATGGGGATGGAGTATGGGGGTTCTCCTAGCTTCAGGAGTCTACAGAAACAGTTCAGTGGCCTGCAAGCTTTCCTCCCACCAATGAGGAGCTTTGTCAATGGGGAGGAGGGGTGAGGAGGCTGGACCGCAAGGGCCCAGAACCATCGGGGCTCCTCTTAGTACCTAAAGCTGGGGAGGACTAAACGATCAGCCCTGGTGTCAGGAAACTCCACCTGGAAACCTCCTTCCCACAGATGCTGTACCAGAATGACTTACACCTGACTCCCACACTCCACCTCACCAGCAAGAACTGGATAGAAATCCCAGTGCCTGAAGACATTGGCCATGCCCTGGTACAAATTCGGACCACAGGGCCTGGAGGGGATGGGATCCCTGCAGAAGTCCACATCGTGAGGAATGGAGGTGCTGCCCCTGCCCTGCCCTTATCCCCTCGAGAGGACCAGGGTCCACCCAGATGCCTGAGGGGATCATTCCCACCCAGGCCAACTCCAATCTCGACCTGCAAGGGAAAGTGGAAGGCAGGGAGGAACCAAGTGCAAAGTAGTCCTAGAATTGCTCGCCACCACCTTTCTACCCACCCTGCAAACCATCCCCGAGGGCCAGGGAAGGGAGCAGGGTGCAGGGGGAGGCTGAAAACCAATCAGCAAAAGCAAAGGGTCTACAAAACACTGTAGGAGTTGGGCTGAGAAGAACACCCAGCTGTCCGCTCCCAGGCCTGCAGCTGGCCCTGTGAGTCTCCTTAGGAAAGGTCTCAATCTTGCCACAAGGGTGGGGCTAGGGTAGTCCCTGGCCCAGCTGACTCAGCTTGTGCTGGTTTCAGGCACAAGCATGATGGTGGAGAACCTGGCAGTCCGCCCAGCACCACACCCTGGCGCCATCGTTTCCCACTCCGTGGCGATGCTCATCCTCATAGGCTCCCTGGAGCTCTGATCCTGGCACCCCTCCCTCTGCACCGCAGCTGGACGCCACCTCTGATGGACACAGCCAGCCGGCCCCTTCCTGCTGCCAAGGTGGCCTGACACTGTGCCAGAGAGTGGCTGGTTTTAAATACCTACTTTAAAACAGTGCCCTTTTTGTAGGAGGTAGGATATTTTATATTCTGCCGCAGGACAGAGCCCACGCAAGGATTTTCTTTAAATCGAGAGGCACCAGGCAGTAACTTCCATGATGACACTGATGCCTATACCTGAGCTCTAGGCTGCCCGGAGGGAAGGAACAGGCCCATGGGAAGAAGGGGGTTTAAAAACGTGTCTTCAACTCAGCAGAGATGGCACTCTGGGACCCTATATGGACTCCGCCACTTGAGAGCAGTCCTAGGCCCAGCGGGAACACCAGACATGAACAGGCTGAAGAACTGGGGCGAAGTGCACACCTCACCGTCCTTCAGTCTAAGGAGAAGGGCAAGCCCTGGGACCAAGAACTCTCCTACCTTCTCCCTTGAGCAGCAGCAAGGACCCTGACGCTGTCCCTGATGATTCCCTAGGGGCTCCCGCCTGCCCAAGCGGCTGAGAACCAGCGCCCCGATGCCTGAGGCTGGGAGCCTGAGCCCCTTCAGCTTTGAGGGGGTGATACTGCTTGGGGTGGGAGCTAAAAAGAGTTGAGAGGCCCTTGGTGGAAAGGGGCACCAGCCTTGGTCTGAGATAGTCACAACCCAGGTGACATTGCCTTCTCAGCCAACACTGCCAGCCTGACCCTGTCATCCCCAGATTGACAGCGCCACTTCAGGTGGCTGGGTGACTAAAGGGCTTGTCTTGGTGGGGTCTCCCACCCCTCCAAGACCCATCCTGCACAGTCCCTCCAGGGTTGGGGCAGGAGATGGCCAATCATGCGCCCACCTCTCCCTCCAGCGCTGCCTGCAGTCAGCTCGGCTTCCCGACCTGCAGCCCCAGACTCTGCTCTCCCAGAACTGACTCACTCCTGCCTGGGAGGGGAATGCAGCATTCATGCTATGTGTCCTGGAGGTTTCTGGGAAGGGCAGAGGATAAATGTGGCCCTGCCTGCTCCCAGGTATACCTAGGACCACCTGGCCAGATCCGCTCCCAGACGGCCTTGGACTGCTTGCATTTCCCCAGAGGAAAAGGGGTTAATAAATGGGCCATCCTTTCCTGAGCTCTGGGTATACTACCAGTCATGGAACATCGGAGCTGGAAGAGGCCTTAGAGCTCAGCTTCTTCAAGTCCCTCACTTTACAGATGAGGAAATGGAGGTGGTTCAGAGAGGGTCTGGGATTCCCAAGGTCACACAGCCCGGAAGAGATGGGGCTGGGTTAAGAACTCAGAGTCTCCCACCTTTCTGTTCAAGACTGTTTGTCTACCCAGAGGAAGGAGGCACTGCTGAATGGCTATGGCCTGGCTAAGAAGGTGGTTGGAGTCAGTAGGGTATGAAAATTCTTCAAGGGGTTCGGATTGGTGATCATGGGGACTGGCATGGCTGGGTTCCAGTCCAAGGTGTGGGCAGAGCTTCTACTGAACATGCAGTGCTGACTTGAAGCTCCCTGTCCACCTCGCTCTTGCCCCAAGAAAAGAGGCCAAAGCAAAAGCAGATTCCCTAGGCAAGAGCAGCAGCACAACCAGGAAACCCCAAAGCCGGTTCTCCGACAGGTGGCCCTTCACAGGGGGCAGCAGGACAGGCATCTTGAAGGGCATATGTTCTCGGAAGCTCCGAGCCTGTTTTCTGTAGTTTACAGTTAGAGCTCTATTTTGTTATGGTTTTTTAAACTTTTAAGTCCTGCTCTATTTTCCTGGGCAGGTTTATGTTGATGTTTACCCACTACAATTTTTTAAAAATACAAGCTCACATGCCTTTTCCCTGCCAGACCAAACCCCCACTGCACCCTACCCACCCACCCCCCGCCCAGGGCAGCTTTCCTGGAGCTGGCTAATCAAAGCCTCCTCACCTCTTCTCAACCCTTACAAGCAAGGGTGCTAGGAGCTCAGCTGTATGACCATTCTCCCTGACAGGGAGTCCAAACTTGGCCTAGCATCCCTCCTGGCCCCCCTCTGGCCATGACTTGGCCTGTGCCTGGTTCTCTATCAGAAAGGGGATGCTGAACAAAACCTCCTTCTAAGTTTTATCCAATTCCTTCCTCATTGCCTCGGGCTGCGTCAGAGGAAGCAGGGGATAGGTGTCCAGTTGCTGGGCCGAGGGAGGAGCTGGTTTGGCACAGGACCTAACCAGTGACTGGAGGCTACAGCCCCTAAACTTGCTTGAGGCCAATGATACTTACTCACAACTAAGTACCTTAATGCTAATGAGGTCCACTAAAAAGGGGAGGAAGGCAGACCTCCTGGGAGACCCACGAAGGGTTTTTAACCAGGGAAAACTGAGCCCCAGGAAAACCTAACCACTGTGCAGGCAGAATTTGTTTGGGGGATAGAACCGACAATAAAATAGATGTTCCTGCAGCCTGAGATTTCAGGTAGAGGACTAAGGTTTAATAAGACAATAGATGACCTGAGGACATGCAAGCTTGTAAAATGCAACAGCCTCCTGCTAGAGTGACTTGTACATGAGCTTGCTTGCAGAAGACTAGATTAGATGCTTCTCAGAGTCCCCTCCTGCCCAGGGGTTCTCTGATTTTCATGTTCTCTGCCCAGATGGGCTGGGGGAGTTGACAATGTGCTTATTTTCACTGTGATCATGAGACCACGGTTCTGGGTTATCTCCTTTCACACATCAAGCCCCAGAGGCGGCGGCAAGAGGAACAGCCACAAACAAGTACTTTACCCCACAGCTTAGTGGCCAGTAAACACCTTGGGGACGAGGGACAGGAACAACCTATAGGCACCTCTTCAGGGCCCAGGGAGACAAGTGCCCTCTATTCTGCATACATTTGGGCTCCCCTTACAGAGCCCTTTGCCCTGGCTCCGTGGTCCTTGTTGCTCTAACAGTCCAGATGAACACCCAGCCTCAGGGGGAAGGCAGCTCTCTCCAGACGGTGTCTCAGGGGCCAGCAAAATCAGGTTATCTGCTTTCATTCAGGGCAGCAAATGATACAGATGGTGCCAGGGAGTGGCAAGGCCATGGGGGTAGGTGGGGGGTGTCTTCTTCTTTTCATAAAGTAACAACAGATGAGACTGAGGTTAGACATCAGGAAAAAAACCTCTGGAATGACCTTCCTCATTCCAGGAGGCCCTGCAATAAGGAAGACGCTTTTTTTTGAGGGACCTTTGAGGAATTCTGGCAGCTGTTGACATGGGGTCTAGGATAAGGTGAAACTGTGACTGGAGGGGTAGGAGATGCTCCAAGTGTCCATCCAGAGATGAGACTCTTAGAATCAAAGTGTTCGGCCCAGGAAGTCTTGGAGATCCCACCTGCTGTGGCCCCGCACCTTAGGGGAAGCCATTAAGGGGGCTCATCCAGGAATTCTGGTTATAGCCCAGTGCTTACCCAGCCTCTTTAGGGCAGCCCCCAGGGCCAGCCAGCCTGTACTCTGGGCAAGAGCCCAAAATGGCTAAGAATGTTTGACTCCCTTAATCTCTTCCCCAGCTACACAGGAATCTTTTCTCTGCCCGGTCTCAGAATGGGACTGCCAACCGGCTCGTCGGAGACGCAGTATCCTCAAACCTGTGGCCACTGGCAGGACAGTGGTGCTCTATCTCCCTGGGTGAGACCTACCCTAGGCTTCCTCCTGGATGTGATGGGGGCTGCCAGAGAGGCTCTTAGCATAAAAGAGATTAGAAGGGCATTTTTCTATGTGCCTCCAAAAAGCTCCATGGAAACAGGCACTTGGTAGCTGTGGGACACCGTGGACTTGTGTATATGGTCATAGGCTTTGGGAAGATAGGACATAAAGGAAAATGAGAGAAACAAAATGGGTCAGATAGCTTTGGCCAGAGCCCCAGGCAGCCTTTGGGGCCTATGACACTTAGTGCCCTTAGATGGGATACATCTTGCCTCAGCCCCAAGATTCCTCCAACTTACCCATCCCATCCAGGGCCTGCACAGCTTAGAGAGGCTCAGCTTGGCAAATGCTAAGGCTTCATCGGACCACTGACTTGACTCAGTGTTTGTTAAAATTGAACCACTCCCACTGGCCTATTTCTCTCTTGTATTTCTTGTAATAGTAGTTATTTATTGATTCTGGTAGCAGGCAGTTCTTAAATAAAGATGGTTTCTCAACCTGTTGGGGCAGCTGGCACAAGCTGTGGGTGTTTTTATCATCAGGCTAAAGCATACCTCCTTGTCCTGTTCTGTCACTCCAGAGGCTTTTATACAAGAATTTCTTTCACCCCTCACACAGTGAAATATAACGAAGTTACAACATACAGTCTATATTGCTTCATTCAGTCCCAGGAGGGGGGAAAAATTAGGCCAAGATCTCAAGGCAGGTCCAAGCAGAGCACAAGCAGGCATTTGGCTAGAATCGGTTGGCTTTACCTAATACAGTGGCAGTGAACAATGCTTATGAGATGGTACTGCTTCAAGGTTCCCTCATTTTTAAGACATCTCTGAGGTGTTGACTCAATGGTCCCAAAGGAAAGTCTCCCTGCAGAGACGTTAATGATACATCTGGTGAGAACGAGGTTGCTGCCTCTACTGGCATAATCTCAGCGCACTACCACCTCTACCTCCTGGGTTCAAGCGATTCTCCTGTTTCAGCCTCCTGAGTAGCTGGGATTATAGACACATGCCAGCAAGCCTAGCTAATTTTTTTTAGTAGAGACAAGGTTTCACCATGTTGGCCAAGCTGGTCTTGAACTCCTGACCTCAGGTGATCCACCCACTTCAGCCTCCCAAAGTGCTGGGATTACAGGTGCCTGGCCTATCAAACTTTTATTACAGATGAAGATGTGTGTGAAGATACACTTGCACGGCTCTGTGTTTTGAGCCTTTCAGTGCAAAGCAGGTAGGGTTCCATGCTGACTATGCCCCCAGCTTTTTTCAGGGAAGAGGGAGATAGTGAGTGGAGGCCCCAGTACTCATTAGCTGTGTGCCCGGAAGCCCAGGCTGACAGCAAGCCTCCAGAAGGGGCCTGTACGGACACCAGTATGGTATCACAAAAGGGTCATCTCTTCCACTTTGCCCCCGAAGGGGATGTGGGAACACCAGCCACTCTAAATCCCAAATATTAGTCCAGTCAGCATCTCCTTGAGCCTGCAATGGTAGATTACCTGCACAGAATTCAACAGCTTTTGCTTTACTAATAACACAACTGGGCATCTTTTATTCTCTTCTCTGCTCAATCCCTTCACATCCTTGGAGTCAGAACTCAAGAGCCCAATGCAGAGGGTTATAATGCCAGAGCTGTGCAAGAGTCCATCTCATACTTGACTACTGGCTGCAACAGACGACTGGAAAAGTTATTTAGCTCTTCTTGGGTCTCAGTCTCTCCATCTGGAAAATGGGACTACCCATCAGTCCTCCTCCCTCCTCAGCGATGTCATGCTGAGTTCATTACGTATAAAGTAGGATATTGTTTCATGGTCTTCTAGTGTCAAGACTGCTTGCTTAAAGTACAGCAAGCTATCTCCTGAATGTCTCAGCAAGTTGTCCCGTACTGAATGCTTCATCAATAATATTCCTGAACTCATGTCCAGTACTTCAGTTTACCTCACAGGATCCTCACAATCACCTATTTCAAAGATGATGTCCCGTAGCTCACTCCATTACACCATCAATAGCAGAACCAGGACCAGAACCCAGGTCTTCTGAAATCCATCCCCTCTGAAGTAGACAGAATGGGGGTAAGGGTGTGTGTAAAATGTTAAGATCTTTTTTAAAATAAGAGCAATAGTAAAATGACTCCCTATGCCTGGGCCTCAGTCAGTGGTTCTCAACTTTAGCTATACATCAGAACCACCTAACAACCTTAACAAAGATGCTCTGAACTCACGATACACATCTAGGACACTGAGACAGCCTAGGAGCAATGACTCCCCAACAGCAATGAGCACACCCAACATACAAACTTTGGTTTCTCAATGCTACTCCCCACACTAAGAGGAACCAGGGTTCCTTGGGGAAAGAGGACCAGATTCAGGTTTGGGGCAAGGAGAGTCCAAATGTGAACCTGATACCATGTTGAACTAGAAGCAAGAAAATGCTCAATGTCAAATAAAACCTCAGCAAAAGGGCAAAAGAGCTTGCCTGAGGGTACTTCTACTGGCCAAAACTGGGGACAATTTGAACATCAAGAAAACCAAACCCCCATTAACTGCAGTTTACTTATGCAACAATCCTGCACATGTACCCCTAAACCTAAAAAGTTAAAAGAGAAAATGATAATGGATTATATACAGTTCACTGAATAAGAAGAATCTATTGAGACCTCAAAAATAAAAAGAGGGTAAAAAGAGTAAGCTCTTCTTTACAGAGAAATGCAGGCTAATATAGGTAAGATGAACGTAAAGAATTGCCAGTTTGCAGTCCCCAACGTGTAATGATGAACAAGGCAAAAACAATGGATGCCAAAATATGTGAACAGTTTTGGAGAGCCATATAATCATAAAGTATTACCCCACAGACTATGAATTACAAAGGGGAAAAACACACACACACACACACACCCCACACACATCTGTGGTGAGATCTGGCCATCCACCACCTTAACCAAATGATCAAGCTTACTATCAATAGTGGGTCAACCTTGGCTGGGAGCAGTGGCTCACGCTTGTAATCCCAACATTTTGAGAGGCCAAGGCACGCAGATCACCTGAGGTCAGGAGTTCGAGACCAGACTTGGCCAACATGGGGAAACCCCATCTCTACTAAAAATACAAAAAAACTTGCCATTCTCCTGCCTCAGTCTTCCAAGTAGCTGGGACTACAGGCACCCGCCACCATGCCCAGCTAAATTTTTGTACTTTTAGTAGAGACAGGATTTCACCGTGTAAGACAGAATGGTCTCGATCTTCTGACCTCGTGATCTGCCTGCCTCGGCCTCCCAAAGTGCTGGGATTACAGGCGTGAGCCACCCCATGCCCGGCCAGAAATTAATTTTCTTAGTGTGATAAAGATACTGTGGTTACAGAGGAGAACATCCTTATTAGGAGATGCATACATGGTTTAAGAGTAAAGAGTTGCAATGTCAGTGACTAGCTTTCAAATGGTTTAGCAAAATCAATCTATATTGAGAAAGATAATTGTGACAAAATGTTACTACCTGGTGAATTTTGGTAAAAGGTCTATGGATGGTCACCAAACATTTCTTTCAGCTTTTCTATGGGTTTGAAATTTTTACAAGTTAAAAGTAAAAGAAATAATAGAGATCCTCTGACCATAATTTAAACTGAGTTAGCAATGTCTGGATTAGAGCTCAAGAAACTTTATTTTCACAAGATCATCCAGATGATTCTGACACATGTCTAGAGAATCACTGGTCTTTGGTTTCTGCTACCTCCTGTAGCCAGAGAAAAGTGAGAGGAAGAAAAAAGAAGTAGCTCAGCTGGTGGCCAAGAGCCTTTCCCTGATGGTTCCACAAGCCAATTATCTCAGACATGGTCCAAATGGCCTTGGAGTCTTTTTTTTTTTTTTTTTTTTTTTTGAGACAGAGTCTCGCGCTGTGTCACCCAGACTGGAGTGCAGTGGCGTGATCTCGGCTCACTGCAAGCTCCGCCTCCCAGGTTCACGCCATTCTCCTGCCTCAGCCTCCGAGTAGCTGGGACTACAGGCGCCCGCCACCACGCCCGGCTAGTTTTTTGTATTTTTAGTAGAGACGGGGTTTCACCATGTTAGCCAGGATGGTCTCGATCTCCTGACCTCGTGATCCACCCGCCTCGGCCTCCCAAAGTGCTGGGATTACAGGCTTGAGCCACCGCGCCAGGCCGGCCTTGGAGTCTTAAGACTGGATTTCCTATGGAGGAATCAAAGTACTAATCCTCCCTTGGGGGCCTTGGCTGCTGTAAGAAACCAATACTTGACCTTCCCAGGAATACAAGCTTCAGGGCACTGAAAGAGCTAAAAGGACTGGAGCGGAGGCAAGCCAAGGTGCTGTCTGAATAAGGGGAAACCCACCAGGTGAAGAATCTAGTGTTTTGCCAAGAAATTCAATTTAATACCAAACAGGGGATTTACCTGGGCAGAACAGGCAATTTGTTAATATTCAGTGACTGTTACACACCTGAGCCAGATGTCATTACTAACAACCCCTGTCATAGGCTTAAGCACTGCACCCCCTGCCCCCAAAAGCAGACAATTTGTTTAATGTCTATTCTAAGAAACCTGAGGAAAATGAAGCCAGGCTGATTATGGGACAATTTAAACAAATACAAGAAACTAAAGAGCAGAAAAGAAAAAGTTAGGTCTCCATACAGCTCCCGTGAATTACTTTTATTGAAGAAAAAAATGTTCATTAGAAAATCTAAATACATCCCTCTACATGAATACACAGCTCAGAAGAGGGGAAAGGGAGGCGGGGAGGCATCCAGGTTATAAAGGGTAGAAAATGAATGCAAGCTTCTTTAAACTCTTGGGAACACAGGCAATGCTTGCAGTTTCCTGGGTATCCAATGGGCAGGGAAGATCAGGAAGAGATCCATGGGACATAAGGAAGTTAGATTATTGCCCATAGCTCCCAGGAGGTTGTCCCCTCCATTTCTTCCACTCATTCTTTTGGCTATGGGAGCCTTCCCTCTAAGCTCATCCACTACCGGCAGCCAGAACACTCCCCTAAAAAGCTAGCTTGGCTTCCTGGGCAGCCAGATCTTCAGGAGCAAGGCTGTCAAGTTCTTGAGGCTATCACTGCTGCAGGCCCCCCCTCAGCACACAGAGGACTATCCTCACCAACACACCACCAACCACTCCACTGGCAATTCCTATCCCCAAGGCTGATGCCACCTTCTTTTTCCATTTTGGGTGGTGAGGCTTGGAGTAGCTGTCCAGATTAACTTCCAATCCCTCATCTACTAACTTCTGATCTTCAGTAAGTGACTGATGGAAATTCAGGTTCACCAAGTTAGGAGGAAGAACCCTCAGCCCAAAATAGAGCCTCTTGACAAGTCTCAAGTTTTTTAACAGCTGCACATCACATCGGTATGTCCCAGAGTCATACTCCTGAGCATATTTAAACTTCACGAAGTGAGAGTTGGCTCGGAAGGGTTTGAAGACCTCGTCGTCAGTGGAGATGATACCTCGAGCAAGTCTCCAGGTGAACCGAAAAGCTTCCTGTCCAATCTCCAGGACGTCTGAACTCAGACAGCTAAGCTCAAATTCCTTGCCAATGAGAATGGTGAAATGGAGCATCCCACAGATCCAGTTGGTTAGACATTCCAAGCGCTGAGTCTGACATTTCCTTCTCACTCCATCAGGGCCCACCTCACAGACGGTCTCCTCCTTATAGCCAAGGCCACAGGTGACCGTACAGGTTGTAGCACTGATGATAACTTTCCCCACAGCTTCCTGCAGCTTCTCAGGGATGGCCAGTGTTTTAGGTGTAGTCACCACCAAAGGCAGGTAGAAGGCCAACCCCAGGCTCCCAAGGGCAAAACTAGTGGCCAAAATCTTCATGTCTCAGCAGGCATTTTGCCACCCTTAGCCAGCACCCACAAGCTATTCCAGCTGAATCCTCTACAAATCATAACTTGATTCCTTTGACATGAGATATCCTTCAAAGTCAAAAGATACGATGCATGTATTGTCAATAAAACAACACAACTTAATAAATAAAAGTCCAGTCCTTATAAACAGATGAGGCCACAAGGCAGGAAAAAAACATAATGGTGTTGCTTTACTATCTATCGTTGTTAATAAAATAACCACCTTACCAGTCCTTCATTCTTTTCATTGCTTTTTTTTTTTTTTTGAGACAGGGCCTCACTCTGTCAACTCAGGCTGGAGTGCAGTGACATGATCACAGCTCACAGCAGCCTCAACCTCCTAGGCTCAAGTGATCCTGCCACCTCAGCCTCCTAGGTAGCTGGAATTACAGGTGCAGGCTACCACACCTGGCTAATTTTTCTATTTTTTGTAGATACGGGGTTTCACCATGTTGTCAACGCTTGTCTCCAACTCCTGAGCTCAAGCAATTCACCCACCTCAGCCCCCCAAAGTGCTGGGATTACAGGCGTGAGCCACCGCACTGGCCGTTTTCGTGTTCTTTTAATGACTTTAAATCCACCTCTTGGGAAGACAAAGAAGAAAAGACTTCAGAAACTGAAGTAAATTTCCAAATTACCTCAAATGCATAGTGAAGTTATGCTCTTCCTCACCCTTACCCTTACCCTCTACAAACCAGGACCTAAATTAAGGGTTTCAAAAGCCCCAGTTAAATGTCACCAAATAAAAACAAATACTAAAGTCTAAAAAAAGGAAGATTAACTTGAATTATTTCAATGCTCCTAAACCTCCTATAAAAAGGATTAAGAACTCTGGATTGGTAGGCAAGTAACTTACCCTTCCTGAATTTCTGTTTCTTCCTTTGTAACTTCAGACCTCCTTGCCTATCTGAGGAAGGTCACTTAGAGCATCGAATGATATACTGTACATGAGAACACTTTGTAAAGTGTGAAAACACTGTTCAATGTGTAAGGAATTTTAAATAGAAATGGAAGTTCATAAAGACAAGGGCCAAGATGACCATTTCAAATCAGAATGTTTAACGTTATGTTAAAGGCAGCTCCTCTCCCCTTTTTAGGCACTCTTCCTTCCCAAGGATACTGAAGATATATTTTGAGTGAGAAGATACATGATGCTCCCTGACTCTTGGCCTACTCCCTTTACCCTACAGAACAGCGCTCATCATTCACTTAGGTCAAGGTTGCTATGAAACAGCTATGATGTCAAAGATGGAGTTCTCAATCACATAAAAGATTAATAAGTAGACCCTCAAATTTGACATTAAAATCAAAGACTTACATAGACTTTGTGAAACATCTTTAGGAAACAATGAGCATCATAGACTTTGTGAAACATCTTTAGGAAACAATGAGCATTTAATTTTAAAGCTACTTCATTCCAAAAAAAAAAAAAGGTTAATAAGAATTTAACCGTACTTACGTAGACTTGAAGAAAGATCCTTGGAAGGCAGGAACTTCCTAGCATGCATTTTTGTAACCTCCAGAATGCCTAGTCCTACGGCCTCTTCAGAGTAATTACAAAACTATACTGAGTTAAGTAACTGGAAGACAGATCATTACTAGATGATCTTTTTGATCAACAACTTTTCTGCTTGCATCATTTATTTATAATCTCATCTAGAGGCAGAAATCTAGGCTACCTGTCCACTCCCTACCCCATCCAGATCTATCTTTCCACACCGAAAGATCTAGTATCAACAAAGGAAACCACATTTTCCTTTGTACTAAAGCAAAGTGGCCAGAAAGTTCCAGAAGTGAGCAGTGTTTACAAATAAACATCTACACCTGTTCTTTAATAAACATCCGATTTTATTTACAAAGCATTAAAGCTTCAGCAAGAAGTACCCAAGGCTAAGTCTCATCTTGTACAAAACTACAGAATTTTTTTTTTTTTTTTTTTTT